ACAACTCTTACAACAAGAGAAATAAATGAACAGAGAAGTCAGCACCAAAGCTGTTCTAACATCCAGACAACACCAACACAAACTCTCCTTGGGACATAAGGCATATATCTGCTGCACTCTTTTCAGTTTCCTTGTCTGGGTCCACCATCACCCCCTCTTGTGCATCTTTTTTTCATGGAGTTGGATTTTAGTAATGTGTTCTGCCATCTTGGTTCCTGTTATATTCTCAGGCTGCCTGTGTCCTTTTCTGGAGTTTTACATACATTTACAATGAGGCTTCTTTTCTTGTACAGCTCTTCAAGCTCATCTTCATCCCTTTTCCTCTTGACATTCTGCTCTGTTTTCCACTTTACTTCCTCTCATCTTCCAAGTGGATTCTATAGCAGCTACATGCAGTTGCACACACATTTAGCAGCTCTTTAGTTAGTGGCACCTTCACCAAACACCCTCATGTAGTGGCTGATTAGTCTCTGTGAGAGTATCCTCCTCCATGCTGTACATCTCCATTTCCTTTTTTATTGGGAACCCACGCTCCACAGTAGCTTGTCCGTGAGACGAAAGCCACAGCTTATCCACAAAGCTCCAATGTTCTGCATATCCATTCATGGCTTTGTGCAGGAAGCTGTCCACTCTCCACTTTCCATCCTACACAGTGAATGCCATGAATCCCTCTCCTCTTGCCTCACTAAAGAGGAACTTCCTAAACTCACATCACCTGCATTTATATTAAGAAAAGCATGTTACTTGTAATATGTTACAATTAATCAGTCCCTCCAGGATGTTGCAATGTTGCATTTGCAACAATTAATGCAAATTTAGCCAACCCCAGTGCATTTTGTGTGACTTTGCAACTCTGTCCAATCACCACAACTTTAATGCAAATAAACTATAAACTGGTAAAATAAAATTTCACCGTAGAGCTGCACAAGCCCACAAATTCTGGAGGCACTGATTAATGTTGAATGAATGTTGGAAATTAAATGAGAATTGTTGTGAATATACTTGGGATTTCCAACTATATTTAAATTCTTATGTCTAAGAACATAGTATGTTAAGACATTTCAAATATCTGGGGACACTTGTCGTGACTCATACCAGGATATGTTTTCAATGATTAAATCCAACAGATAAAATTTTGAACTGCAAAACAATTGGCTAGTATAACTTGACATCTAAAATATGGCAACTTGTTGATTGACATCATCTTAGTCAAAGATATTGTGGAAAGCAGCATGATAATATTAAGACAAGGTGCACAAAGATTCCCTTTGCCAGACTTAGTCCAGACTGTTGTATAAAGGGCCATACTGGCTGCAGGTTTTGTTCCAACCAATGAAGAGCACACCTGATTGAACTGAAAATGTGTTTGGAGTTTGAGATGAGTTTATTAACTCCTAACTTTTCACTTTTCAGGGGCTGTCATGTCGCCCATCTTTATATACAGTCCATGAACTTACACTACATAGAACTGGACAAATCCAGTTAATATGTCAACTGTTTGATGTCTTAAAATCATCTAATCTCATTTCAACATATTGATTTTACTGCTCAGGTGAATTTGCAGCTGCTATAGCACATTAATGAAGTTGGTAATAAATGTATCAGACTTATCTAATGGTATAGAAGGAATTGTAATAAACAAAGCAGAGCATATAATATCTCTTTATGCAGATGATGTGTTAGTATATTAGACAGAACCTACATCAACAATATCACGTTCAAATAGGCACATTTCTCAGTATGGGTAATTCTCAGCATATAAGGTACATGTGGATAAAATGGATGATGTCAGTGCCAGGATCCCGCAAAGAGTAAATTTAAATGGCCTAAAAAAGCCTATACATACGTGTACACGGCTCTGCAGCAGACAAGCATGCCTTTCTATGTGTGTGTCTGTGTGTGTGTTTTTTCTTTCTCTTTTTTTGGTGTGTTACATTGATGTCACAGACAGGCCAGAGAACAGGTTAACAGTAGACAGCAGACAGTAGCTTGGAGGAAAGTGGTTACTTGTTTTTAACTTTTACTTACTTGATCTCTGTTTCAAACTCCATGCAGATTAATTTGTTTGAGTGCTGCTTGGGCGAAGACGGGTGGTGTTTTGTGACGGAATGTCATTGCATCTTGCCGGTTACGGGTTTAAATACCCATGACTACTGCAGAGTCATTTGAATTGGGTGTGAATGCAGATTAAACCATTCCAATTGCATCGCATTAGCTGCACTTCCATATCTAGCATGAACCTGGCGATGCGCATCAGCACAGTACTTAATCAAGTTATGCATGCAGCCATACATAGAAGCACACACAAGCCTCAGACTCAAAAGAAGGAAAAAGACAGCAGGTAAGAAACCTTTATCCCAGATGAGCTTTATTTCTCGGTAAGCAGATGACAAAACACTGAAAGTGAAGACAAAAGACTTTAACCCTATAAATAAATAGAAAATTAATGAGATGCTAGGGATTATTCATGAAGGACATACCCTCCACTGAAGTAAACTGAAGAATAAATTAGAAAAACAGAAGCTACATTATTCTTTTTAAAAGCTTGTTGAACCTTTAAAAAAACATTTCTGCATAGATAGTCTTGTATTCAAAGTTTGTGTTCTAGGTCTGCAAGGTTGTTAAAATCCCCCCACCATACAGTTCTGATATGCACCCGTTCTCGATGAACAAACCTAAAGAATACATGGCTCAAAAAGACTAGTTTCAAGATTATCTATGATCATGTACACAGTGATTTGAGGTGATAAAGCATCTTACTTCATAACTCTTACATTGTAGTTTCTAAAAGAAGCTAAGTACAACGTGGTAAGGGTTACATGGAAGCACATGGAGACAGTGTGATGGGGACTGTAGGTGATTTTGGCTAGCCAGCCTGTGCACAGTGGCCACTGAAACCAAATGCAGTGTTTTTTTCTCCACAAAGCCGCTGTTTTGTCTTCAAGAATGAGCCAATGTAGGCAATCCACTAAAACCTCTATATACAGATGTGCTGGCACCCAAACTGCATCAAGGGCCCCCTGGGATGCCAAGGCTCCTGCCACATTTAGATTTGACCACATAGTACATATAGTGAATGCTAATGTGTCCATGGCTACACTGATGGAACAACATCATCCATCTAACTTTACTTATTTGTTCACTTGTGTGCTGATGCTGTCCTGACAAAGCTAAACAACTAGTAACAATGACCCAGAGCATCCTTGGGAGACAAAACAATATATCCTATTCAAACTGCAGTCCATTATGTTTTCTACACAACTATCTGGAATACAGGGTAACTTCAGATTTATTAGTTTTAAATTCAAGAATACTATTCTTCCCTTATCAATACAGATGAGACAATATGATGGGAGGAGCTATCATTTTCACCCTCTATATTACTGAAGGGATGGACTGTGCAGATACAGCATGTTACAACTTTTAAAGGAGTGCTAGAAATTATTCCTCAACACAAAGAGAAAATGAAGTCTTTGACCTTTTCCATGTTACCTCTATTTTTGTATAAGGTAGTGACATAAAGCAGCTAGGACTACTGTTAACTAGCCTGGTGCAAAATAACAGACAATATTTAAAAAATAGTTTAGCAATAATACCCCCACAAAACAATGATTGCCTATTATCATCAAATAGTCCAAAGTGCTGTTCAGTTTTCACCTGTTGCACACTACACACCTGTAACAGATGAAGTAGTTGTAGAAACGGCAGCATGTAGCACCAGTGAATGTCTGGGAGACTCACTTCTCTAGCACTCTTTCCTTCAAAGTCGAACATCCGTACCGCTAAACTGGTAAAGCTAATGTTTCTCTGCTTGTAGACTTAGTGCTTCAGGTTGGCAGAAGGTAAGACTTGCAAGTTAACCATGGCTTTTCACAAAGCAAACATAAGCTGTTGTTCAGCTAACGACTAGCTTTTTGGCTCTCTGATGCAAGCTACTGTAACTTTAGCTACATAGTTAGGACTTAGTGACAATATTCACCAGTAAAATCGACCACAGAGCAGCAACCAAGGACCGACAAAAGAACAGACAAAAAGAAAATTACATGGTTAATAAATTACTGCCTTCAGAATGGAAATCTAAGGAACTTCAAAGAAAAAAAAGAGCTTGGCTGTGCTTAAACCTGCCACTGCAACAAGTGAGAGCTGAGTGAATTTCAACACATTCATTTAAAAAGGAGTGAATGTGCAGCTAGAAAAAAAGGATTCCAATTGTATCAGAAAGACACTTAATCAAAGCCAGTGTCATTCTATTCTGTTCTAAAAAGGTTTAATTAAAAGGTCCAGTGTGTAGGATTTAGGATCTATCGGAAAAAAATTGTATAATATTCATAACTGTGTTTTCATTGGTGTATAATCACTTATCGCTGTATTTTGGTTACTTTAAAATTTGCTGTTTGTATCTTTATCATCTTCTGAACTACATCAACTGAATCCAAGACCTCCAGTGGTACTGCTTCATTTCATCCAATTCGTAAGCTTTCAGAAAATGTGCACTCGGACAAAATGAACGCAAAGTACAAACAGAAGGCTGCATCAGTTTCCATATCTTATGCTGAGCATAGATGAGTCATTGGCCTCCTTTGGTGTGCTTGGCCTGACAGAAGTTCTTAGGGAACACTAGGCTGGATGACTTTTTAGTGATTGCAGAATTGTAATTCTCACCTGTATCTTAACTTTACTTATAAAATATATTCCGACCTAAGGCCAATGTCATATTATATGACAGTGCCAGCTATTGAGCCTTTCAGTAAGTGCAGACCAGCCTTTACTGCTCATGTGTTGTACCCCTATGATATGATGCAATATGACGCTGTGACTTCTCTTTTTCGCCTTGGCCACCATAGTTCTCCTAGACGCTTACCACACGAGACGTTTCAGTTGGTTGCAATCTGCAACCTCACCACTAGATGCCACTAAATCCTACACACTAGACCTTTAACTCCAAAAGGACCAAAAAAAAAAACAAAACCCAAAAAAAATAATAATAATAATAATAATAATAATAATAATAATAATATCATCATTATTGATCATGATATTTCTCACTTGTATAGTAACAATTTGTATTGAAAATAATTTGTCCTACATTAAAGCTGAAAATGCCACTTTTAAATGTATTTTTATTCAATAATGGCATTTTCCCATTGTCACTTTTCATGACATTATTGTTGTCGCAACTCCCCGCCCACTCAGCTTTCAGCATATCAGAGTCCCTCCAGGATTTCTCGGGCTGTTTTTGGGATTGCTGTGGCCTGAAAGGTCTGACTTTATGGCAGCTTTTTGTAAAAAAAAAAAAAAAATTGTGATGCATTGCAACCCTTGCAATGTTTTCAGGTGTTTATTTGCACTGAAATTAAAGGGCCAAATAGAAATTGCAAAAATAGTTGTGATGCTGTCACAGATTCTGAGCTTATTATTATGAGCATTCACCGTTTCCCACAGAATTAGAATCTATTTATGATGATGCGGGGTCGCCGACTGTAACAGATTTCTGCCGTTCGACACAGCGCTGACGGACTAACACTGTGATGTGCTAATACAGCACAATGACAGTCATCTCTGCTTGTCATATTTTGCCATTTGGGCAGAAACCCCGCAGCAGCTATTAACATCTGACACCGAGCCGTTAATCTCACACTGACACCGAGACAGTTCAGCTCTGTTATTAAACTTGTTAACTGAAGGGTAATGTTAGCCATGATATGCTAACAATTAGCCCTGTCAGTGTGTGTGTGTGTGTGTGTGACTCTGTCCCAGGCACAGAGCTCCCGTCCTGCAGCAGCAGTCTCATGATAAACAGAGAGGGGTTGAGCAAATCGATTAGCTCCATGCAGCTTCAGAGTGAAATTATATTTTATCTGGTTTAAAAAGTCAAATTTGCAGTAAAGTTGCAGTGACTGGGCAAAATTGCAAGGTGGTGTATAATGCATGGGGACTGGCTGAATTTGCGCCAATGCTGAATTTGCGCCAATGTTGTGATCACAACATTGCAAACATCCTAGACGGACTGATATCACTTATGAAAATAGACTTTTGAAATGACAGGAAATTTGAAATAAAAAATGAACTCCAATAAAACTTTTATTGTTCAAATAAGAATGATGACATAACACTTCATGATAATTAACTGAGTTTTGATCATTTATTATGTCACCATTTATTGGGTCATTTATATATTCTAAAATATTTATTCACTCAACTATTTATTTCATATTATTATCAAATGTCTTGTTTATGTATACAATACTGGCCATTTTGTAATAAAACCTGTGATTTCTGGTGAGACAGACTCAGTGTAAATTCTGCTCTGCTCTCACCTCTGCAAAGACATTGTTCTTCCTCCTGTGGCGGCTTCATTTAGTTTCTTTGTTGAAATATTTGATCAGAAATGAAGAATGAATGATGTGCTGAAGAATGCCAAATTGGCATTAAAAAAAAGCAGTGGCAATTTGACCTGAGGCATTGAGACACCTGAAATAAGAGCAGAATCTACCAACAGACACATAGTGAGCCAACAGGCTTTATATGTGTGCAGATTTCCATTCTGAAGGGGTACTGGCTCAGATGAAGCTCAAGAGAATCCAGATGTTTCTGACGAAGAACACACTGGGTGTCGTCAAAATGTCCTGACTCTAAAACCCCGTCCTCTCTACTCACTGCCAGGAGAACAGGATGGTTACCACGCTGAACCATGACTGCTTTCTAAAGTCATCACTGCATCTGAAGCACTATTAGTTAAAGTCAGCACTACAGGTAGGTAAGCTGATTCTAAATCTGTGTCTAAAGGCAACTTCAATGTTGAGAAAGATTGATGGGGCTTACTGTTCCTCTCCCTCTCTCAAGGCTGCTGACCAATGACAGTGTCTAACCACTTCTTATATGCCAGGGCAAAACGTCTCTGCTCAGGGCTAGAGCAGCTGTCCAGGATACCGCTCACGAAGCTGTGCTCAGAGGGCAGGGCGGGGGGGCTGGGCAGCAGGACTCCTCTCTTAAGTCGCTTGCTGTCACGTGGGTCTGGCAAGGCCGCCCCATCTACTTCCATAGCTTCAGTAGCATGCCTTTGTCCATTCACACTCTCCCCCCTGCCTGTACAGCTTTGAACAGCGATGTCTGGCAGGACTGGGTCACTGTTGTTAAGGTGGACCGAATTGCTGCCTCCGTTGCTGCTGCAGTGGTTCTGGTGTTCCCTCCTCCAGTGGTGCCACAAGTAGAAGACATGCCGCCTGGAAGGGGTGGAAACACATCCAACATCTTACTATTAAAATATACTGTACCTATACACCATATGACCAAAAGTGTAATATGTGGGCACATTTTCCACATACTGCAATTGTTTGACCTGTTTTTTTCATGGACCAGGCTAAACTCCCTAGTGGGGCTGTGCGGTGTAACAACTATCGATATCAATATAGAGTCAAGTTGCGTTAGGTAATGCTGTTCTTCCAAAAAACCAAGCCAGTGTGCATCTGTCCGCTCTCACACAGCTCTGCCCCACTCACACATTCACATGTTCACCAGCAACACTAAGATACACACATTGTAGTTTGTAGATTGTAGACAAATTGTAGTTTTTTGTCGAGCTGTGAGCGTCATGTAGGTTTACATTACCAAAGGTTTATGACAAAAGCGAATCCCATGTTCACATGGCAAGAGAAGAGAGGGAGAGATGCTGTGCTGCTGCCAGAGGAGCTGCTGAGTGAGTTCCCTCTTAGCTGTAAGTCGCTAAATGATTCTGAGAAGTCTGGGGCTGTTCATAAAACATTCAGGACACCACAGTTTATTCCACACTACTGAAGCTGCTCCTCTTTTTGAAACCACTGCAAAGTTGGTCATACTTTCACTTTCAGCCATGCTTGTTGTTGCTGTGAGTAACAGTATGACCTCAGTATGTCAACAACTCAAAATATTGCGTGTATCTTGATGTGAAATTTTCAAATTATGTTAAAACTTCTACCGGTACTATCATGAACAATATGATATGGCAGACCCCTAGCAACAACACAGACATGTCATATACAAGACGTATATAACACGGACAAAGTGTCTCTCACTCATTCCCTCCCTTGGTCTCTCTGTTGATGCTATGTGCATAAATAAGATTAAAATCCTTTATAAATCAAATTATTTAAATCACTTTCCAGCACTAGATCCATTCAAAAGGCCACGGAAAACGACTTTTTAACTCCCTTCATAAAGATTTTTAATTGTTCGAAACTCCAATGGATTTAGGCCTACTTGATATTTTCATGCTCAGTTATAGTTTGGTGGCCTGTGCTGCAAACCTTTATTTAATTTATTTACTTATTTGGCTTTTTTGCATTTATTTGGTAGGACAGTCTGGGTGTGAGGGGCGGAGAGAGGGAGAATTGAGCCTGATACTGCTGCAGAGGGGACACTGCGTTCATGTATAGGACGCCTGCTCTACCCACTACACCACCAGGTGCCCACTGCAAACCTTAAAACCTCTCTAGTGCTATGTGCAAAAAATTAACGTACAGCCTCGCTATTTATTCTATATAATTTTTCATGTACATGTTGTGCAGCAGTATATTTTCAAACAGGGAAAAATCTGTCTTTGAATTTTATTTTGATCACAGTCTGTTTTTATAAAAGTGATTGTGACACCTCAAATGTGACTTTGACTTTCAAATTAACATGTCACCCATTTCATTGAAAATACTGAGATATAAATCATGTATCACCATTCAGCCTGAGAATACTGAGATATGATTTTTTGTCCATATTGCCCAGACCTACTCCCTAGGAGTGTTGTCATGATACTGGAATTTCTAACTTTGATACAGTACCTTGAAAAATATCAATATTTGATACCATTTGCAATGCCGTGGGGAAAAACTGACACTAAGTGCATAAAAGATAAATGACAACATATTTTCTTTTCTTGGTTCGTAGCAGAAAACAGCAGAATGACTGTAGAAAACACTACCAATAAGAGTGAGAAATCGCAGCTGGTACTGGTATATCAATACTGTAGAGAATGAGTATTGAAATGGTTTAAATACCAGAATCAATATTTATTGATAAATTGGTATGTTTCATAATAAGCTGCTGCAAAATGACAAATGTCTTGTGTTGTGTTCACCTCTGTAATCTCACCTGTGACTCCAGAGTGTCTCGTGACCAGGGAAAGACTGGATCAAGTCTGAGCACAGCTCCATCTCCTGGTGGAAGAGCTGAAGGACTGTAGTGTAGTTGAGCTGCCTCTCCTCCTCACCTGCTGCCTCTGCACCTGACAGCTCCCCATTAGCCTGGCTGTGGCTGTGATGCTGGGGACTGCTGCTAGGGACTGTGCTGCACCTGTGCTGGGGTGAACTGGTGATGGAAGCTGGAGTCTGGGAGAGCTCAGTGATCAGCTCCTTGAGCAGGAACTGGCGGTAGTGGAAGCCACTGTGGTCAGACACATGCATGGACACCCACAGACGCATAGAGGACAGCTCTTCATGGAAAACCTGTGAGGAAACATGGTGGTGGGCCACAGGTGTTTGTAAAAAACAGAGGAGTAATATTAACAAAATCCAACAAATATTTGGGAGATTGTCATGTTTTCAATTCAGCCATCACATGATCTTAATCAAGATGTCACTGTGATTACACTCTGAGTCATTGTTGCGCAAAATAAGCTGGCAGATTTCAGGACTGCATCATGACTTTTATCTTCACCTCTCAACAGCTCAAGCTCCACAAAAGCCATCCCCGGGAGTTAATGTCCAATCACTATTGTGGCTCCACCCACTGACCCCCTCACACTGTTTTAACTGGAGCCGGGGAAAGTGACACTCGCCTCACACAGAAAGGAAGCGGAAAAAACAAACAAAGAGAGCCATGGCAAAGGCAAGCGGAGGAGTTGAGAGACAGACGTTTGAAGAAGCACCTGCTCGATTCAAATCTCCGGTGTGGGATCATTTCGGTTTCGCTGTTAAATAAAACGACGAGGGAGTTAAAACAGTTAACAGAAATTTCACTGTCTGCAAATGCTGCTTGAAACATGTCTAGTGTTTCCCCATCCATTATATTAGGGGGGCGTCCCACCCTGTACCTTGTGTTTTTATTAAACAAACTAATCAACCTCATGTTATCTATCTTATTTACACAACAGCATGTCATTTCTGTCTCTACACGGTCGCACGTTTACAACAGTGGTTGTTTATTAGCAAATATCAACTATTGCTTTCATAAATATATATTTACTAAAATGTAATGCAATTCACATACAAATGGAAGCTTTCTCATATGCTTAGATTTATTTCTCTATATATACACAGATATATACGCAGGCAGGGCGCGGTATGCTGGAGGCTGCCTTCTTGCGTCGCCATATTTGAATACAGTGCCCGAAAGGGATATACGCACTTCGCCTTTCGCGTTTACCTAGAACTTGCTGTCACTGGAGACAGAGAAGGTGAAGATCAATCCGGGGCACTTCTGCGTGAACCTGGTTTGTACTTTTATGATTCTGTCGCACTTTAAATGGAGGACCACACATATGTATTGCCCTGTAAGAGGCAAACCACGCCACCAAATAAAAGAAAAAGATCAGATAAGCGAGGACGGGACAAAACGTGAGTGGATATCGGCGTTGCTTATTCCAGGTGGAAAAAACTCCTGAAGGAGAAGGATTTCACAAGGGATGCCAAGGTTGCCTGCTTTCTGCTAGACAGGTAATTCAATCTGATATTTTAAAATCATTTTGGCTTCATGTTTGCAACTACTTTTCCCTCTTGTCTAAGTTCGAGTGACGGCTACGTTTATGTGCTAACGTAAGCCTTGGCTTGGAACGTTATCCCAGAGCTACAGCTAAATGGTTAGCCTAGCCTACAGCCTAAACTGTTCATTCCTCTCGTGCTGCTGCGAAGGCTGCCGCCCTCTCCTCCTCCTCCTCTTCCCTCTGGGTAGCCGAGACACACCTCTTCGCCTGGCCGTTCCTGCACCAACTCTAATGTTACCCCCTCGCCCCCTTCCTCTCCCTGGTCTTCCTCCTCTCCCTCTCCCTCTTCCTCATCTCCTTGTGTCCTGTGGAAGAACACTCTGGAAACGCATATATTATAATCGTACTAATGTGCTAATGCTTGTGTTACCAAAACAATTAGAAATTAAAGCTGCAAGCAGCGATGAACGGGCCCTTGCAGTCCACGCACGTCGAGGCATGCTGCCATCGGGGGGCCTGCACCTAGAAGTCTTGTCAGTTGTAATAAATAAAAAAAATAAACGTTATCTCTCACTTACATTTCCAGTATACAGGTAGGCACCCAACCCACGTATGTATTTTTCCAAAAAGTAGAAGCTGAATACATGCCCAATAGTTCAAGGTCTTCTGACTCTTTAAAAGTTGACATGGTGTCTCTAGCTCAAAGTATGAGGGACAAGAAGAGGTTGAAAGTCCATGAGTTTTGAAGAGGATCTGAAGATTTTCCAATTTACTTCCGTTCACACTAATTAGACTGCCACCAGAACGCCACCTATTGGCCAATTTGCACCAAATTTTGCACAAACCCTCATCGGGCCATGGAACACAATTAGCAAAAGTGTTGTGGTAATCGGATTGTATTTGGTCAAGATATGAAAGACTGTCTGTTTTGAAAACAATGTACAGGAATTTGTTGTTTTATATTTTGGCCGTTTTTTTGGACAATCAAAATTCTTTTAATAACTTTTTCTCAGGAGGGTCCACAGATGCTACATGCAAAGTTTGGTGCAAATCAGTCAAATCACCTAGGAGGAGTTCGAAAAAGTACGTTTTTCATTTGTCGCGATTTAGCAAATGGAAAGTTACCGCGAAAGTGGGCGTGGCTTACACCACACAATTCAGCGGAATTCAGAGAACACGTAAATAGAAGGTTTAACAATGTGACATATTATGTGGGAGTTATTAGCCAAAAACGCTTTTGCATTGAAAATAGTGCCACCTGCTGGTCATTTTTGGTGTGTGAGTTACAGGGGCCAGTCTATACCACCCCTATCAATTTTATTTCCATGAGTGTTATGGTGTTGGCACAGTTCCAAATATTAAATTAGACGGCCACCAGAGCGCCACCTAGTGGCGGATCGGTAAGTCCTTCGTCAGATATCCTCAAGAGGGCATTGACAATAATTATACTAAGTTTCGTGTTAATCCGCCCAACCGTTGTTGAGATATAAAATACTTCAATTTAAAGAGCGCCACCTTGTGGTCATCACCCGAAATTTTTCACAGAGCCTCAGGGGCTCATGGGGAAGTGGTAACCTGAGTTTCATGTCATTCGGATACACCAATGTGGAGATATGCAGCACTTCCTGTTTAGAACGAAATCTGCAGGAAGTTGCTATTTAATAACTTGAGTATTCTTTGGAATATCGAAATTCTTTTAATA